AGGTCTGGAAATCCCTGGTTACCACATATCTCCAGAAGGGCCCCCCCCCGCCCCGCCTGCCCACACCCCTTCAGAATCAGGCACTCCATCTGCTTCAGAAGACACCAGTCTAAAACCTTGGAGCCTCGCTGGAAGGGATCTTATATCATGCTTTTGACCACCCCCACAGCACTGAATGTCGACGGCATTGCAGCTTGGGTCCACACCTCATACGCAAAGCAGGCCCCACCCCAGGAAATGAAGGACGCCAACACATGGAAACTCCAATGCACCCAAAATCCTCTAAAGCTATAAGACTCGTGCGAGCCACTGCTTCAACCCCTACTCTTAATGCCCATGGTCTGTAAGACCAAAGGAGATAGCTCTCATGCCCCTAAGCAGCTTACCTGGCAGGTTTCCTCTCAGGCAGGAGAAGTTGTCTGGTCAACCAGGTACCTGGTAGCCTACACTTACCCCGACTTCTGCCAATTGGCAGCTGGGTCTGATTATTGGGACATCCCTGATTATGAACCTGCAGCTATCCCCTTAGCTAGCACACCACCCTTCTCAGCGGTGGCTAGGGGCTGCAGCATGCCCAATGTTAGACACCTGCTAGGAGGTTGGGATCTATATGTATGTCCCCAAGATGGTAGGAGCAGGGCTGAGAGCCGCAGGTGCGGAGGAATGTTGATTTTATGCAGATCATTCAGGTGTGATCCGGGATTCAATGGCCAAACTGAGGGAGAGACTTAACCAACGCCAAAAGGACAGGGAGGCTCAACCAAGTTGGTTTGAAGGATGATTTAACAGGTCCCTCTGGATGACTACCCTAATATCCACTATAACAGGGCCCCTGATCATTCTTTTGCTTATCCTCACTTTTGGACCTTGTATTCTTAGTCGACTACTTCAGTTTATTAAAGATCGCTTATCCATCACCCAAGCCCGTATCCTCACCCAGCAATATTAAGGAATATTAACTCAAGAGGGACCCTGAGTTTTAAGATTAAAACTATGACAAAAAGAAATGGGGGAATGAAAGACCTTAGTCATGGGAACAAGAAAATAGGCCTTGTCCCAGAACAGATGGTTCCAGATAAGCAAACCCCAGATGGACCAACACCTGGCCAAGAACATTTTGTGGCTTTTCTTAGAACATAAACAACCCTTGTCCTGCGCTACCGTCTCGCCAGCAAGAATGACGTGGCACACTCAGGATCCTTCTGCAGTGAAGCTTTAATGCATCTTGAGAGGGAGAGCATAAGCTTACAGAGCGGAGACCCCAAACATCCAAAACCCAACCCTTATATAGGTTTACAACCTTCGCCTCGGGCGTGTCACCTCCTGATTGGCTGCAGCCCATCGGCCCATATGACGCCACGGGAGAGGCAGAGGCCAAGGGAGGGAAAATCACCCTGCACCTGCGCACTGACTTGTTTACTCTCAACGCCAGCCGGATACAGGCGCCATCTTGTAATGGAGAATGCAGGGACGGCTCCCTACAAACCCTTACCCTAGTTTGACCTTATGCTAATGAAGGAATGTTAATGTAGCCAGTCATGTTATACCTAATATATCTATGCTAATTTGTGGTTTTGCCCTATAGAGGAGCCTTGATGCTTTGCTGGGTTGCAGCCTTCCTTGGAGAAAGCTGACACCAGTTTGTGCATTTGCTCAATAAACACCTCTTGCTGATTGCATCTCCTGATCATTGAGTCAAGGGGCTAGCCCACCTGAGTAACTCAGGGTCTAACACTTCTACCTGTGTACGTGCCATTCACCAACCCAGAACATATTACTCAGTAACTGAATCTCCCTCAAACTGTTACAGTGAACACAGGAGTTTTATTTTGTTTTGTTTTTGAGACAGGGTCTTGCTATATAGACCAGGCTGGCCTCAAACTCACATAGATCCTCTTGCCTCTGCCCCCCGAGTGCTAAGGATTAAATGTCTGTGTGACAATGCCCCAGACACTGGAATTTTAGGCCAAAGCTATACATTGAAACTTTGAAACTTTCCCTGTCACACAGAGTTATAGAGAAGCCCTGTTGAAGGAGAAAGAGAAGGAGGAGGAGAAGAAGCAGCAGCAGCAACAGAAGCAGGAGCAAAAAAAGTAATCTTTCTCCTCAAACTAAGGGTGTCGCGACCACCTCGACCAGCAAGGAAGACTCAACGCTGGGACTCTTCTTTAAGCAGTTTATTCAGGAACCTTGAACAATCTTCTTCTGCTCCTCCCAGCCCCAGCAAGCCCTTAAATATGCACTCACTGCCCAATCAGCTCATGCCACCTAGCGATCCCGGATAGGCCACAGAAGGAGGAGGCACACCAGATCCATCAAGCACTTCCAAATAAGGTTTGTTTACAGCTAAGCTCGACTACCTGGCATCCAGCCAGGCTCCATCTTGGGGCTGTGGCTTCCCACATAAGGGTCCTTCAGTTAAATGGAGATGGTGGGAAACTTCCTAAACTAGCAATCGCCAACAGTGAAGGGGATGGTAAAAGAATGCGATACACTCAATGATGAAATATTATTTGGCCATAGAGAACAGGAAAGGTTGTTATTTGGAACAAAATAGGCAGAATTGAAGGACATGCCCAATGAGATGGGACACGGAATGACGTGGACCTGAAAGGACGTGAGACTGTGAGGACCAGCTTGGGCATAGGTGATGGTGGATAGAGAGGCTATTTGTTGAGTGTGCGCTGCATTCATGCTGAAATATCTCTCAGGTTCCCATTAATATGTACAGTTAATACAGGTTAATAAAAACATTTTAAAAATCTAAAGTTATTGCTCAATGCACCTGAGCATATTTTTAAGCTACAACTTAAAATACATCTTTAAATGTATTATTATTATTGTATGTATGTGTGTATGATGTAGGTGGTATTGTGATGGCCATGGTGAATGTGTGGAGGTTGCGAGCAACTCTGTGAGGTCAGGTCTCTCCTTCTACCCTTTTGGGTCTCAGTGACTGAACTCAGGCCATCAGGGTTGAGTACCAGGTGCCTCATCCATTGAGTCAGCTCACTATTATTTATTTTAAGATGAAATTTGACACTAACATTTTCAGAACTGCCAAAGCGTGCATTTTAGAACCTTCGTTTGGGAAACAACTGAATGAAATATCTTCAAAGGCCTCATATTGTAGCTGGAAGTGTGGCTTAGCTCCAGGGATCCTGCCTGGATTCCCCAGGGAGGGGCTGGGGACATGGCTTGCAGTAGAGCCTAGCAAGTCCTGGGCTCCATCTCCAACACCAAGAAGAGAAGCAAAGTCTCCCCTGCTGCTGCTGTTGCTGAGTCTAGAGTCCCATGGGTGAGGACAGCTGTCCCACCTCAGGGCTGCCAGCAGCAGAGCTCAGTAGATGGCTGTGGGCAGGATGGAGAGAGTCGCCTGCCAAGGTGGACTGCCCAGATCAGGGTGGCCCATGGGCTTGTTCATGGGGGATTGTCTTGCTGTTAATGGATGTAGGAGGAAACCCATGTGTGTGGTACCATCCCTTGGGCAGGTGGTTCCGGGGCTGTATGAGAAAGCAGCTGATGATCCGGAGAAGGCGGGAAACAGCATTCTCCTGGGTTCCTGCTTGTGGTGGACTGAATGAAAATGGCTTCAGTAGGCACATATATGAGAATGTTTGGCCACCAAGAAGCAGAACTGTTTGAAAGAATTACAAGGGGTAGGTGTGGCCTTGTTGAAGGAGGTGTATAATGGGGTAGGCTTTGAGGTTTCAAAAGTGCATGCCAGGCCCAGTCTCTCTCTCTCTCCCTGTCAGTCTGCAGATCATGATCTATATCTCCGCTACTTCTCCAGCACTATATCTGCCATGCACACCACCATGCTCCAGCCATGATGATAATGGACTAACCTCGGAAACTGTAAGACACCCCAATTAAGTGCTTCTTTTTAAATGAGTTGCCTCTGGACAGCAAGAAAACAATGACTAGGACACTCCTGCACTACCATGGCCGAGTGAGTTCCTGGTCACAGGTCGTGCTGTGTGCTGTAGCCTCAGCCCTGCCTTCAGCCCCTGTCTTTCCTTGGCTTCCTTCAGAGGTGGACTCTGACCTGGACATGGAAGCCAAATTAGCCCTTGCCTCCCCTAAGTTGCTTTTGCTGAGTGTTTTGGCCACAGCAGCAGAATGAAGTGAGAACAGCTATCTCCACATTCTGGAGCTGGGCCTATATGTGGGCAACATTGTATACCTGGCATGTCCATGGTTCTGCCATCCAAACTCAGTCCCCTCACTAGGTCTGCAGGTTCTGTAAGCCCTGAGCTAGCCCCAGCCTCGTGTAGATTTCTCTCTTTTTCCTTTATTTTATTTTTCTTCTATTTGATAGGGTCTCTCTCCTGGTTGTCCAGAAACTCATTCTGTAGATCAGGCTGGCCCTGAACACATACACATCCACCTGCCTCCAGTTCCTGAGTGTTGGGATTGAAGGCCAAGCCACCGAGCAGCCGGAGTGAATTTTGTACACATCATTTTCCGTCTCAGGGTAACTGTGACCTGACTTGAAAGTGCTAGAGTGTGTGTCATGAGACAGTCCAGACCTCTGGCTTCACATATGGAAAAGGAAAGGCCTGTAACACAGGCTGCCTTTCCCATTCACATTCAGGGCTACAGCTGGATGCTCACTGCCATCCAAGACAGGACAGTGCCCACCGCAGTCTGTCACTTTCTGCCACACAGTTTTTCCTTTGACTTGGTCATTCTTGGTCCTACAGTGATTACAGATCCTCCCAGAGCCAATGATTGGCTCAAGGAGGAGAGTTGTGCCCACTGGTACCAACAGAGGCAGAGGCAAGGTTTTGATTCAAGTTCTTGCAGGAGGGTGGGAAATTCAGGCTGCTGCTAACCTGAGTAGAGCAGGTTTGAAAACCCAATAGAAAAAAGAGGTGGGAAAAATGGAAGATGTTGGAGGGAGGCCTGGGATCCATGTGACACCAGCAGAGCTGGTCAGTTTGCTTCAACCAAATGAGTCAAAGCTAACCTGTTGCATTCCCAGCCTCCATAGGCCTTCACAGTATCAGGCAGACCTGTGAGTGCTTATTGGATTTCGATTCCTTTCCCTCTGTAGCCATTGACCCTGTGTCCTGGGAGGCCTCTGCTGCAGCCAGCTGCTCTTTTCTGTGCCTGGTCTTCACCAACCACACTGTCTTCTTGAAGTTCTTGAGAGGGTCTTGCTGGGAGGCTCTGGCTGATGGGTACTGAAAGCGTTCTCGGATGAGATAACCATGGCTTGTGGGGGCCATGAAGCCATTGGAGGTAGGGATGATTCGGTTGACCACAGCATGGACAAACTGGACAGCCAGCAGGGTGCCTGTGATGGGGAAAGTTCGGTCATGAGAAAACTCAGGCACAGAGGCAGGAAGGACATTGCAGTTGGTAGTGTGCTTTGTTTGCAGACACAAGGACATGAGTTTGATCCCTAGCACACCTGGAAAACCTGAGTGTAAAGGTGCATGCAGGCAGAGTCAGGGGGCTCCCTGTCCACCTGGTTTGGCCTCATAATTGACCCCAAAGTCCATCCTGTCCAGTGCATGATCGCCACCAAAGTATAGGGCTGCACCACTATGCACACACACACATACACACACACATAGAGGCAATAAAATAAAATAGACTTTTTCATAGTTCAGTCCCATCCTAGAACAGGACTCACCATCCAGCGCACTCCAGGCGATGATGGAACGGTCCTTCATGCCTGCAAACACATACTTGTCATCCTTTGAGAAGCAGGCACACCGCACCCCTCTGCAGTAGGAGCTCTGTGAAAACAGATCAAATGACGTGCTCTGCATGAGCAATGGTATCTGTTGTTGTTTACTTGTATTTAATTTGCTTGTTGTGGGTGGGGAGCTGTGTATCATGGTGCTGTGAGCAGGGCAGGAGATAACTTTTAGTAGTCTGTTCTTGACTTACACTATGTTAGTGGAGACAGAACTCAAGTCATGAAGCTTGGCTGCAGGCACCTTTACCAGCTAAGCCCTCTCGCCTGCCTGGGATCATGTTTAACTCTTGGTCCACAGCTGGTATTTGGAAAGTTGTAGAATCTTTATCAGGTTTGTCCTCCCTGGAGGACATGGATCACTCTGGTTCCAGTTTGGGGGCCTATAGTCCAACCCACATCCTGTTCATTCTCTGCTTCCTGTTCCACTATGATGTGAGGTGCAGAGTTCCAGCTGCACACTCCTGCCACCGCAGAGCTGTTTGGCACCATGTATCCCCTCCACCTTAGGCTGTGACCCTACAACAGAGGGCCCAAATGAGGCCCCTGCCCCTTCAGTTGCTTCACCTCAGGGATTTGGTAACAAAATAACTAATACATCACACCATACCATTTTCAACTGAGAGACATCCAGACAACTTCTGGCCTGGCCAGCACCCCAACCCCTGCTGCCCACTGGGGACAGAGCAGAGCAAACCCCAGAGAGATGGGGAAGTGGACTTTCCAAGGTGCACGTCTGTCTTCACAGAGGTGACAGCTTCAGGGCTATGGCACTGAGGCACAGGTGCAGGGTACATGTGGGGTGGGGTGCATGCATGTGCAGGTTTATCTGGAGGCTGGGGGACAGACAGCTTCCTTATGGTTGCCTTCCTCCTCATTTGAGTCAGCTGCTGTGCAAGTATGAGGTCCTGTGATTGATTCCCCGTTCCCATGTTATAAAAACAAAAAGCAGGCATAGTGGCTCACTCTTAACAATCTCAGCTTTGGCGAGTTGTACATAGGAGTACCCTGCCCACTCCAGACTAATGGGGGGACCCCAACCTTGATGAGAGACCCTGACCCCTAAAACACGAGGAATAACGCCCCAGGTTGACCTTTATCCATCACATACATTGCACGGATGTACACTCACAGCTAGAAACAGTGCCAACACACACACACAAGGAAGAGGAGAGAACGGGCACAGCATGGACTCAGAGGCACTGGCCACCCACCTCATAGATCATCTCGAACATCCCCCTGCAAGCTTGCAGGTCCCAGAGGCAGAGCAGTGCATCCTCTGCCCCGCTCACTGCCAGCTGCTCCCCGTGGCTGACCTCCACACAGCTCACCCTGCTCCCATGGGCTTCCAGAGGAAACACTTTGGACCGTGCACAGTCATACAGAAAGAGGCCACCGTCGGTCATGCCATAGAGCACCCGGTAGTCTGCCAGCACGGCCACACTCGCTATGGTCTCGGGCAGTTGGGTGTAAAAGGTGTAGGCAGGGCCCTCAATGGTGGGACATGGGTCCCCGGGGCTAATGTCCAGCACCAGAACAATGTTGTCGTAGGCGATGGCCAACCGGTCCTCGCTCTTGCTCAGGGACATGCAGTTGACAGCCTTGCGGGCCTCAGGTGGGGGAATGCACAGCACATCTTGCCTGGAATTCAGAGGGAACACAAGCACGATCCCTGAAATCAGACCTGTGAAGAGGAGTTTGGCCTGCTCAGCCACTTCTAGACACCGGACCTCATTGGATGTGTCCAGGAAATCCTGCTCCTCACCTGCATAGGGAGAAGAGAGTCAGGGATGGATCATATGGTTTTCTCAGTTAAAAAAAAATACAATTATGTATGTGTGTATATAAGCCAGAGGACAAGTTTTCCCTCCCATCTTGTGGGTTCTGGACTCACATTTTCAGGCTTGGCAGCAAGTGCCCTTACCTGTTGGATGTTTAGCTAGCCTTAGCTTTCTGAGTCTTTGACTCGTAAGGTTTAGCTTGAATAATGTAAAGTTTCCTGGCTGAGCTGGAAGCTGGAAATGAACCCTGCACCCATATGCATGCTCAGAAAGCCCTGAGGCAAAGGAAGTCGGGACATGTTCTGTAGGCACCAGAGGAAAAGAGAGAATCCTGAGCTCCCACAGGCTTGAGGAGCACTGGGAGCAAGTGGCAACTGAAACTGGGGACAGGGCTGTGCTCAGCTCCAGCAGACTCCTTAGTTCTCCCAGCCCTGTCTGTGGTGCATAGAAAGAGACACCCAGGAGAGTCTGATAACATTCTAATCACCCAGGCCCATCTCCTCTTTACCCTTTAACCTTAGCCTCCCTGGCAGCTGGGATTACAGCCAGGTGTATGACAAGAATCTAATCTAATTAAATGAGAATCATGTCACTTCATCATCCTGTTTAACCCTCCCAGGGGTGTCCCGCAATCCTGGGAACACAGTACAAGCACTGTCTCCACTCTCCTTCATACCCTGGTGACTATAGGTTGAATGTCACACAGATGGTGAACTCCATTCGGGCACTGGAGAGATGGATCAGTGGTTAGGAACACCAGCTGCTCTTGCAAAGGACCTGGGTTCAGTTCCCAGCATCCACAGAGCAGCTGCAGGGATCTAATGCACTCTTCAGACCATACTAGGGACACATGATACATATACATAAATGCAGGCAAACTCAAAAAAAACACACATACAAAATAAAGAAATAAACAATCAAACAAATAAAAAGAGATTCCATCTACAAGATGATGTTTTGGGGAGGTGCTTTCTTAGGAGTTAATTAGAGTTCGGGGGAGGATCCCTCAGAAAACGGTTAGTGCTCTTACTTAGAGGGGGAAAAAGAGCAGAGCATTGCCTTGCTGCACAGACACAGCAAAAGGACATCTATGAGCCAGAAGTAAGCAGCCCTCACCAGACCCTGAACACTTCAGAACCTCTACACTTGTCATACATGTCTGTGCATCTCTTCATCCATGTTCATGTGTGCACACTGGAGGTTGATGTGCAGTTCCTTCAAGTGCTTTTCAACTTCTTTGCACATGTATGTGTGGCGTGTGCATGTCCACATGAGTGTGTGTGCGAGTGCATGCATGGCCATACAAGTGTGGAGGGTGAGTGCATGTGTGTATGTGATGTATACATGTCCACGTGAGCATGGGTGCACGTGTGGTTGAGTGTGTGTGGAGGACAAGGCTGAAGGTGGTCGTCTTCCTCAGTTGCTCTCTACCTATTCACAGAGTCAGGATCTCTCAATGGAGACCAGAGCTAGTGAAGTTAGCCAGCTTGCTCTGGTGACCCCATCTCTGCTTCCCAGCTGCAGGAATTAGAGCCCAGCACTTGCATGGAAGTGGGGATCCAAACTTCGGTCTGAATGCTTGCAAAGCAAGCACTTTACGTAGTCATCTTCCATTCCCTGTTGTTTGTTTTTTGAGCCAGAGTTTGTGGTTTATCTTGAACTTCCACCCTTTTTGTCTTCACTGCCAACCATGACCACCACACCTGGCTTATGTAGTGTTAGAAACAAAGCTCAGGGCTTCCCATATGCCAGAAAAACACTGCACAACTAAGTTACAAGCACTCCAGCAACTAAGCCACAAGCACTGTAGCAACTGAGCCAATTCCTGGCTTCATCTTGAACTTCTGTCTGCAAAACGTAAGTCCAGAACTCACCACGAAGACACTAATCATCTCTCACAAACCTTCTGCCAAGTCCCAAATCGTGACTTTGTTTTTGTCCCCAACCTTGGGGAAGTAGATGTAGCTGCCGTGGTGAGACACTGCAGTGAGGCCTGTGCGGTCCAGAAATGGAGCAGGAGGCCTCGGCTTCTGAGGGGACACGAGATCCCAGACTTTTAAAGACGAAGACTTCCAGGATGCAGACACCACCAGAGTCCCGCCCCGGACCAGCAGGCTTGCAGGGGCGCCCACGCCCTCGAGGACATCCAGCAGGGTCCCCTGTTCTGAGAGGCTCCACACCTGAGAGTGGAGAACAGAAGCACGGGTCTGCCCCAGGGACAGGCTTTGGCTGTTCACCCACCTCTGCTGAACATGGAGACTCTGGCTCCAGGGTCCTCACCAATCCTGGCTGCTGAAGACTTCCCAGGGCTTCAGCATTCTCACAGTGTGTCCCAGGGACCCCAGAGAACACCCTGCAGGGCCTCTCAGGTCTGCAGCAGCGAACTATCTTCAGAGCACTCCTAAAGTACTGGCTCATCCACACAGGTAAGCAGCATAATTCTGCAAGAGCTGAATGAGATTGTAGTGTGCATGCATGTCTGTGTGCATGTGCGTGTGTGTGTGTATTTCAGGAACCTGTCATGTGAGCTGGAGAGATGGCTCAACTGTTATGAGCACCCGACGCTCTTGCAGAGGGTCCTGGTTCAGTCCCCAGCACCCACATTGCAGCTCATAGCCATCTGCAACTCCAGCTCTAGGGCATCCATACTCTACTGCCTCTAAGGGCACTGGACACACACGGTACAAGATGCTCATACACATAAAATAATAACAAGAAGAGTGATAAAACTTTTCTGATTAAAAGCCATGTCATCATGTAAACATGTCACAGTGAATTTCATGGATATATGTTCTCGGATTTCCTTCTCTTTTTCTATTTGAGACAGGGTCTCACATTGCCCAGACTAGCCATGAACTTGCCATGTAGCTGAGACAGGCTGGGATCACCACACCAGCTTCATCTCCTCACTCAAGTGTGGTTTCCCAGGGGTTCAAGGGTGGGGGGCTGGGTCTCGGAGATGACGGGTGTGACACAAGAGGTGACAGATTTAAGAGGCGGAGCCAGGTGGGAGGTGATGGAGTCTTGTGGGACACAGTCCTTGGAAAGGACCAAGTAGCTGGCTGTGGTTATGCAGATCTGTAAATCCAAGAAGGTGAAGGATGGAGAACCAAACTCCAAGGTCACCCTTGGCTTCATAGCAAGTTTGAGGCTAACCTGAGCTACACGAGACCCTGTCTCCAAAGATGAGGGGGAGGGGTCGAGCAGTTGTTATGAGACTCACATTAGTTCCCAGGAGAGGGGTCTGTCCCAGGCAGGCAGGACTGGCCTCTGTCCTTAAGTGTGATTGTCCCCTCTCATAGACTCACACCATTTGTGCTGTATGGACAAGGAAGGCCTCACCAGAACTGGTGCCATTCTCTGCAGTCAGTCAACTTCCAAATCTGTGAGCTACATAACCCATTTTCTTTATACAGTTCCCAGCCTCAGGTATTTTATTATAGTAACAGAAAACACATACCCAGCATTGGCATATATGTATACAACCTATAATAAATAAATATGTGTTCTACATAAATGAATTCTGTTAGGTCCTCAAGAATCTCTTAGATCCTAGAGAGGTCATGAGACTGAGATATTGGGAAACCCATAGTCCCTACCTTGATAGTCTCACCAGCGTTGACTACTGAGAATGTTCCTCCCCTGTGGCCCTGAGAACCAGTATCCTTAGTTTTCAGGTCCAGTTGGGAATGCTGCCTGCTTTGGGGAACATTCCAGGTCTGCTTGTGGGGCACAGAATACCAGCACCCTGTATCATTCCACTAAGCCCCCTGTCAGGGTCTGAGCTCAGAATTAGGGATCCTGTTCTGAGGTTGGGGTCCTGGATCCACCCTCACCTGGATGAGTGCATCCCGGGAGCCAGTGATAATCACATTGTTCTCAGGACCCAAAACCGCGCTCTCCACCACGTCCTCGTGTTCCAGATCCGTGGCCATGAACCGGTGGAAGCCTTGTGAGTTTGCCAAGAAAATCCGCACAGATCTTCCAAAGCCTGCAGCAGCAGAGCCCAGTTAGGCCTTTGAGCCTGGCAGAGCCTGAGAGCAGTTACCCAGTCTATGCAGCCTTCCTAGAGCACCTGCTATGTCCCAGGGGAAGGATGTAAGGAGGCTGGGGGGGGGCAGGCATGGTCCCACCTTGAATAGCAGGTGCGTGTTGGAGGTGACAGTCACAGAGCTGTAGGGAAACTCATGACATTCTCTATTATCAGGACATGGAGTTCCCTCAGGTCCCTGTGCCATTAACTGGGAACCAGTTCAAACACCCCAGACAATGGGAGGCATTTGTCACTAGAACAACCACATTTACTTTTCCTACCTTAAAAAGATTGTTACATTCTATTCTATTCTATCCGTGTGTGTGTGCGTGTGTGCGTGTGTGCGTGTGTGCGTGTGTGCATTTGTACATGCATCCCCCACCTATGCACTTTCATAGGACAAAGGAGGTCACTGGGTCTTTCTCCATCACTCCCACTTTCTCACTGAGCCTGGAGCTCTCTGGCTGGCCTCATGTCTCCACTCCCCACAGCACTGGAGTTGCAGGCACACACACAACTATACCAGGTTTTTACATACTGGAGCCTGGTGTTCATGTTTGCACAGGGAGGGAAACTCCTCAGCCCTAGTTCCCCCATCTATGCATAAGGACACTGATGGTGTGGGCTCCAAGGCTGTCATGGGAGTGCAGAGGAATCAGGGCATGCATATTATTGAGGATAGTACCAACAACTGCAAATACAGAGGTTTACACACACACAAACACACACATACCACTGACACCATGGGAAGGCTTCACAGTGGGATTCCTGGATATGTGCCTCAGGTTCATCTTCCCTGAACCCCCAGACCATGGAGCCAGCTGGAAGCCCAAGGTGGTTGTTGCTGTTGTTGTTTAAGGTTTTTTGAGACAGGGTTTCTCTGTGACTTTGGAGCCTGTCTTGGAACTCCCTCTGTAGACCAGGCTGGCCTCAAACTCACAGAGATTTGCTTGCCTCTGCCTCCCGAGTGTGGGGATTAAAGGTGTGTACCACCTTTAAAGACATGGTGTTCCCAGGTGGTGTTAGTCCATGCCTTTAATCCTGGCACTCAGGAGGCAGAAGCAGGTGGATCTCTGAATTCTGAGGCCAGCCTGGTCTATAAAGCTACCCAGAGAAACCCTGTTTCAAAAAACCAAAACCAAAACAACTCACTATGTAACTAAGGATGATTCTGAACTCCTGATCACCTTGCCTCTACCTTCCAAGTGCTGGTATGACAGACAAGCACCACTATGCCTAGTTTGTGTGGTGATGGGAATGGATCCCAGGACCTCATACATGCTAGGCAAGCACTCTACCTACTGAACTACCCCACCCTACCCACTACTGAGCTACCACACTCTACACACTGAGCTACCACACCCTACCCACTGAGCTACCACACTCTACACACTGAGCTACCACACCCTACCCACTGAGCTACCACACTCTACCCAACTGAGCTACCACACCCTACCCACTGAGCTACCAACCCCCCCCCCCTACCCCACTGAGCTACCACACTCCACCACGGCCCCCCTACCCACTGAGCTACCACACCCTACCCACTGAGCTACCACACCCTACCCACTACTGAGCTACAAGTACTATATTAACTGAGTTCAGACATTCTAGTCACAGAGGCCCAGCCTCAGCTCCAAGTCTGTCTCTTGCCTCCCCATACTCTCTGAGGAGATCTTTCTATCCTGAGATCCTTGAATGCTGACCTCCCAGAAAAGAATGTTCCAGGCTTCTATCTGACTGCATTTGTGGTTTAATCTTGGTCACTAAATAAATGATTTTGGGGGCCAGTGAGATGGCTTAGCAGTTAAAAATGCTTGCCACCAAGGTTAATAACTGGAACTCACAGGGTAGAGGAAGGGAGCTGACTCCCCAAAATTGCCCTTTGACCTCACACAAGCACCATGTTACACACACACACACACACACACACACACACACACACACACACACCAGTCAATCAATCAATCAATCAATCAGACAATCATAGGTACATCCAGTAGCCTAAACCTCATGCCTGCACTTTGTGGCCCTGGCTCTGGCCTAGTTCTGGGGACAAGGCCTCTCAGTCAGTCCAGCTTCCTTCATGATAACCATGGTCTTTATTTATCTCCGTGCTTTTCAAAGTAACAAAGTGAGTTCCTGGGGGAGTTTGGGACAGGCATCTTCTGAGGGGCTGGCAGCCAAGGTCAGCCTCTTGGGCCCTCAACAATGCCAATGTGACCAACTCCTACAAACTCACTATCAGGGCTTGGAAGAGTGTCCCTGGGCTGGGGGACACACCACACACATTGTGCCCTGTGTCACCAGGCTCCTGGCAGCACTGGGAGAGGAGACATGCAAATTCCCATCTCGTGTCTCCTGGACACTGCTATGCTCCTCTTTCTTTCTTTCTTTCCTTTGCAGATTTCGTGTGTGTGGACGCACACTCACACTCGCACACACATACACTCACAGGCACGTGTGGTTACATGTTGTCATCAATCGTTCTCCCCATTAGTTCTTTTTAGGAAGGGCTCTCACTGAACCCAGGGCCTAGGCATCTTGGCCAGGACAGTGAACTCCCAGCGTCTGCCTGAGGGTACAGATATCTGCCGCCATGCCCAGCTTTCATGTATGTGCTGCGAATCTGAATTCGAAGCCCGTCAAGCACTTTACCCACTAAGCCATCTTATTGGCCCCACCTTACTTTTTAAGACGGGTCTCTCACAGGTCTGGGACCCACTGATTAGCTAGGTTGACTGACAGGGAGGACCTGGGATCCACCTGCCTCTGCCTTTCCTATGCTAGGGTCATAGGTGTGGCCATGAAGGACAGCTGCTGCTTTCTCTGAACTTGGGGTGTGTGTAGTGATGCCTAGAGCTGATGGTCTTGGGAACAGCACCCTGAAATTTTGCTCATGAAACAAATAGCTCTTGAAAGCAAAAGCTGGGGATGCCACCCAAGTCAGGGTCAGACAGGTTCCCATGGCAGTGGTCTGGTTCCTTCAGGCTGAGAATAGAGAAACTGCTTAGCACGCTTTCTCCCAGGACACTGTCCCTGAAAGCCAGCCAGGCATGCCCTAGGTATTCCTGATGCTCCAGACCTTCTTCCGCCTCAGTCCTCACCTCAGTCCAGACTCAACGGACACCTCTTTCCTGTAACACCTTGTCAAGACAGGGGGTCTGTCAGTCTGGCCCGTGTTGCCCCATGACAACCCTCAGTCTATCAAAGGGCAACTCTGAACCAACTACTGTTCCTTTCCTTTTTATGTACCAGTGTGCTTTGCTGTGCGTGTGTCTGTGCGGCCTGTGAGTGTCTGTGAGTGCTGAGCTCTTAGAGGGCAGAAGGGGTTTCAGAGCCCTTGGAATTGGAGTACACAAGGCAGTGCACTGCCCTATCCCTGGAGGTGCTGGGAACAAAACTTGGGTCCTCTGTTAGAGCAGCCCGTGCTCTTAACTGTTATTTTGAAAATTTGGTACAATAACAGAGAAATGACCCATTCATAATATTTATATTGATTTCATGTTAAATATTTGGGAATATTAAATAAAATAACCTATGCAATTAATATGGATTGATTTGACTATTATGATAATATTAATTTAAATACTCATAATTAATTAAAAGGTGTTTACTGGGGCTAGATCAATGGTTCAATAGTTAACCGAACTTGCTGCTCTTTTAGAGGACTTAAGTTCAGTTCCCAGAACCCATATGGTGGTTCCTAACCAACTATCACTGCAGCTCCAGGGGATCTATTACATGTTGTCTGGTTGGGCACCCACACCTGTTACACACACACACACACACACACACACACACCTAAAAATAATAAAAATAAAACTTTAAAACATTTAAAATCTCAAGAGTTGGTTACAGATGTGTATGATATGTAGTGGCTAAAAGTATGCATGATGTACATGTGTGTAAGATGTATGTGGTTACAGGTATTTACATAGTTATATGGTTACAGGGATGTATGGTGGGTACAGGTGTGTATGGTGTGTGGTGTGTACAAGTATGTATGAATATAGGTGTGTATGGTGTATGGTGGGTACAAGTGTGTAGGAATACAGGTGTGTATGGTGTACAGTAAGTACAAGTGTGTATGGTTGATATAGGTGTGCACAGTGGGTACAAGTGTGTATGAATACAGGTATGTATGATATATGGTGAGGATAGGTGTCTATATGGTTACAAGTGTATATGGTAGATACAGGTGTGTATGGTAAGTATTGGTCTATATGGTGTATGATGGGTACAGATGTGTATGGTGAGTACAGGTGTGTTTGGTGTATGGTAGATACAGGTGTGTATGGTAAGTATTGGTCTATATGGTGTATGATGGGTACAGATGTGTATGGTGAGTATAGGTGTGTTTGGTGTATGGTAGATACAGGTGTGTATGGTAAGTATTGGTCTATATGGTGTATGATGGGTACAGATGTGTATGGTGAGTACAGGTGTGTTTGGTGTATGGTAGATACAGGTGTGTATGGTAAGTATTGGTCTATATGGTGTATGATGGGTACAGATGTGTATGGTGAGTATAGGTGTGTTTGGTGTATGGTAGGTACAGGTGTGTATGGTGGGTACAGGTGTGTACGGTGGATACAGTGTATGGTAGGTGATGGAATGTCTTTTTAATCCTGTCATTTTTGGGAACATGAACAGAGCTAATGAGCTTCTGTCTGCATAGAACGGTCAGATGTGGAGACAGGCAGGATTCATTCTCACTCATATGTGGAAGCTAAAAATGTTGATTTCAAAGTGGACAGAGGGACTGCACAATGATTCAGTGGGAAAAGGCTCCTGTTGCCTGGCCCAACTACCTGAGTTCCAGTGCCAGGACTGGAAGGAGAGAGCCCATTGGTGCACATTCTCCTTTGCCCTTCACATGTGCACATGCACAAACACACACATGCACACATACACACATGTACACATATACATACACTCATGCACACACACATAAATACATACACATGCACACATACAAACACATACATACATGTGCATATATACACTTGTACACACATACACACACATGCATACATGTGTGCATGCACACAGTATTTTATAAAACAAAGAGGTGGAGAGAATAATGTTGGGCACAGTTGGAAAGGAAGAAGGGGGTGCAGGCAGACAGGGGACAGATGCCAGTTTCTCACTCTACCCAGGAGCTGGGCACCCAGCCTCCAGCCATATTTTACTTCCCTTCTCTACACTCAGTGAGAAAGCTACCTGCTGCAAGAACAGACTCGTCTTCAGACACCACCAGGAACCCCACAGCTTCTGGAAGCTTCTCCAGCAGGCTGTCTTCTCTGGAGGAAACCTGTACAGTGGAAGGTGAGTGTCATGCTTCTGGGCTGGGATGTGACATCCCCCCCAGACCCCTGTGCCTCAGTTTCCCTATGAGACAAGAGGTGAGCTCAGGTTACACTCCAGGAGTGATGGGCTAGAATGTGTGTGGGTGGAATCATTCCCAGCTGTGTGTCCCTAGTGCAGTACCGCTTTATGCATGGTGATGATGGTGTGGTTGCAGCTGTGCAGCAGTGTGGAACCTATTGCACCCAGCCCAGCCCTGAGGAGGCGGAAGCAGGAGGGTTATGAGTTCAAGGTCAGCCTGAACTACACACAGAGTTCAAGGTGACCACCTCTAAAACCAGCTGACTGATGTAGCCTGGACCTGTAGTTTACAGTCCCAACTGTGAGGAAACATTTTTTTTTCTGTTTCCCCCAACCTCCAGACAGGGCCTCACTATATAGCGCTGGCTATCCATGTACTCACTCTGTAGACCAGGCTGGCCTTGAATTCAAAGATATCCAGCTGCCTCTGCCTTCCAAGTGCTGGGATTAAAGGTGTGTGCCAGTCCTTCCTTTCTTTTTAAATTTATTTTTATTTGTTTATTTTGAGGCAGGGTCTCACTTCATAGCTCTGATCATCCTGAAACTTGCTATGTATAGCAGGCAGGCCTTGAATTAATGGAGATCTCTAGTGTTAGGGTTGCAGGCTATCATACCAGCTCCTTGTATGACTTCTGCTGCCCTCTTATCCATGTCCACTGTTCCAGATGCAACTATGTGCCCTGTGTGTTCACACACACATCCAGAGGGCTGGGCTGTGTCTCTAATACAAAGGACCCCACACACTGCTCCAACCCACACAACTTGAGGAAGCAGGGTTTACTTGGCTTCCAGTCCCAGGTCACACATACCCCACAGAGGGGAGGGAAGGCTGCCTGGATGGTGCCTGTGCTTCATGGCTTGGTCCCTTCTTGGATCAGGAGAACAGAGAACTCCAGCCAGAACCAGGAGTAGCCACCACCTTGCAGCCCCCGCCCAATGACTCACTTGTAGTTGTATCCCATGTGTGGAAGGTTCCACTACCATAACAAGGTACCAGCAGCTGGGGGCCAAGTGTGTAAACACATGAGCCCATGGGGGACAGCTCTGCAGTGGATCAGCTCTGTGGAGACTGTTCACAGGGCCATCAATATCAATATCAAGCTTACAGTTTTGTTGTTACTGTTTTTGGTTTGTTTGTTTTAAAGAGTTTTGCTTATAGCCAAGCATGGTGCCTTTAATCGTGCCTTTAATCCCAGCACTAGAGAGGCAGAGGCAGGCAGATTTTGAGGCTAGCCTGGTCTACAGAGTGAGTTCCAGGACAGAGTTCTACACAGAGAAACCCTGTCTCCAAAACCAGTCCACAGTGCACTCAGGGGGCAGAAGAGGGCGCTGGAGGGGGGCTTACAGATGGTGAGCCACCCAGTAAGTTCTAGGAACTGAGCTCAGGGCCTCTGCAACAGCAGCCAGTGCTCCTAACCACAGAGTCGCATCTCCAGCCCTTGTGATGGTTTTAATGTCACTTTGACACAGGGAAGAACCCAGGGAGAAGAGTCAGTAAGGGATTATCCAGATCCAGATGGCTTGGGGCATCTGAGGAAGCTGGGCCCTGTCCTGGATGAAGGGAGGGAGCCTAGTGTGGGCATGCAGGCTCTACTGTGGAGGGACCCAAGAAAGCTTCCCTGCTCACTATGGAGGGACTCACACAGGCCTTCGTGCTCACTGTGGATGGACCTGCCAACTTGACTTGTCCTCTGTGACAGACTATAACTTGGAACTGAGAGCCTATTAAACCTATTTCTCCCCATGTCGCTCTAGTCAGTGTCTCATCACAGCATCAGGAATGGAAACCGGCAGCCAAAAAAGGCGATAGGCAGCATTGTTCCTTCCAAGTCCAAAGACATCTGTACACTTCATGAGGCATGCACAAAGGTCAGAGGTTAACTTCAGTGTCTCTCCTCTATCTCTCCACCTTATTTTTTTTAAGTATTTGTTTTATTTTGTGTGTATGAGTGTATGCCACATGTATCTAGATGCACCACATGCATGCAGTGCCCACAGAAGCCAGAAGAGAGCATCAGATACCATGGAACTGGAGTTACAGACAATTTTTGGCCAGCATGTGTGTGTTATTGATCGAACCTGTGCAACAGCAACCAGTGCGCTTTTTAAAATTATTTATTTATTTTTATTTCATATACATTAATGTTTTGCATGCATGTATGTCTGTGTTTAGATGTTGAGTCCCTGGAAACTGGAGTTATGGACAGGTATGAGCTGCATATGTGTACTGGGAATTGAACCTGGCTCCTCTGGAAAAACAGCTAGTGCTCTTCCTGCTGAGCCATCTCTCCAGCCCTTCTACTTTATTCTTCCTGTTAGGAAGTTGGCAGGTCCATTCACAGTGAGCACAAAGGCCTGCGTGAGTCCCTCCATAGTGAGCAGGGAAGCTTTCTTGGGTCCCTCCACAGTAGAGCCTGCATGCCCACACTAGGCTCCCTCCCTTCATCCAGGACAGGGCCCAGCTTCTTTCATTGGCCCTGGAGCTCACTGATTCCACTAGAATGCCTGACTCTGCCTCTCCAGGGCAAGGATACACGTTCGAATGCCCACATCTGCCTTTATGTGGGTTCTGAACATAAACTCAGGCCCTCACATTTGAGTAGCTGACTCCTCTCCCAGTCTGTGAGAAAATCACTTACCAGGGAGATGGAGCCACTGTTGAAGCCAGTGACCAGCTTTGCCTGTGTCTGGATGCAGACGGCACAAGTGGGCGTCTCCTCTCTGATGCTGGACAACTGGCGATTCCCCTGAAGTTTTCCTGTGGCTGAGTTCCATACATTGACCTCGCCACCCTTGGACACGGCTAGCAGCACACCCTGGGCAGCCAGCAATGTCACACAGGCCCAGGGATCAGAGGCTTCTCCTGGGATACAGAAAACCAGCTTCGTGGTTTCCAGATTCCACACGCTGATCTAGTGGAGTTCAGGAAAAGCAAGAGAAACATCATCTGGAGACATGGGCTGGGACACAGGCTCAGCAGGTAGAGCACTGGCCCAGCACCCAGGAGGCCCGGAGTTCCATCTCTTGCACACAATCCAGGTATGGTGGCTGTTATCCCAACACACAGGGAATGGAGGCAGGAGGA